TTTCTGGAACTTTGTTCCTTTCTTTTATTTGGGACATGTTTCCTTGTCTCCCCAATTTGGCTGCCTCCCTGTGTTTGTTTCTATGTATTAGGTAGGGCTGCTATGTCTTCTGGTCTTAGTAGAGTGGCCTTATGTAGTAGGTGTGCTGTAGGGTTCAGTGGCAGTCTTTCTGGTCACCTGAGCCACGTGCTCCAGGTGTGTCCCTTGTGTGGGTTGTGTGTGCCCTCCTCTTGTAGTTGAACCTTGGTTGATAATTGCACATCAATGTGAGGGACTGACACTTAAGCTCACTTGTTGTGAGCACTGGCTTTGACTAGAGTGGAAGAGTTTTTGTGCAGGGGCTGACCCTACAGAACAGGATCTGCCTCAGCAGGGCTGACACCTGTGCAATCCGCCTCGCGGGTGTGTCATACTTGAAGGTGGCTGGGTGATGTTCCAGCTTGTTTTGAAGCTGGACGCTGGGGGTGCCAGCCCGTGGACCACCCTGAAGGGGATCCGCTGTAGGTCTACTGCAGCCACAGTAAGTGCCCCACCAGCGTCAACCCAGTGGGAGCCAGAAAGAAATCCGCAGATGGCTGCCACCTGTGCTGTGCTTGGAAGTGCCTTGAGAGGCCAAGCAGTCAACCAAGACCAGCTGCCACTAGTGCCAGCTTGTGGCTGATCAACCAGAGGTACAGGACACAGTCAAGCCAAGTGCTGCTTTTCTGGGTTCCGTGAATCTTTGAGAGACCTTAGGGAAGTCTGTAGATTGAACCAAGACAGGCCGTCTGTACGAAAAAGCCACTGAAAGCAGCGTGGGTGTGCCAGAAATTTGGTCAGGGCCACGTCTCAAATCGCCAGGACGGGGCAAACAAACCACAGAGACTCAGATATGGCGGCCACCTGCATCTGCATGCCAGGAAGGGGGAGGGCTCAGCAAAGAAACAATGGCCTCAACCAGCTCCTACATCTTGGGGAAAGTCCCCTCTCCAGCGACCATCCCAAGCCAGGCAACCAGTTCCCCACCATATGTCCCTGCTGCCTTTCCAGCTGCTGCCCCATTGCTGGAGCTCAGAGCGAGTGATTCCATTGGTGAGGAAGTCCGTGTGCGGTCCCTTTAAGAGGAGCGCCTGTGAGTGCAGCTGCACCACATCTCACTCAGTCACAATCTTTGCTGGTTTTCACAACCCCAAATTATGGGGACTTCTCTCCTCGGCACTGGAACCCTGGGCTGGGGTGGGCCTGGGATCTCTCGCTCTTTTAGGGGATGGGGACCTCCACAGCTGAAATATCCCTACTGATCTTTAATTGTCACAGGCAGGTGTGAGACCAGCCTGTTCATCGTCTCTGACCTTCCAACCGGTCAGGAGGTGGCTTCTTCTGCACGTCCTTAGATGAAAGGCTTCAGTTCAGCTTGATTATAGGTGGTTCTCAATAATGGTTGTTTTGTAGATTAGTTGTGATTTTGATGTGGTTGTGAGAGAAGGTAAGCACAGTGTTTACCTCCTGTGCCATCTTGGCTTTCTCCCTCAATTTCTACTATCAGGTTTATTATTCTTCCATGCGATTCCCAAAAGTTTAAATTGTTAATTAATATTTTTTCTCTAGCTGAAGGTTTATTTTATCACTATCCTGTCTTGTTGTGCACTCTAAGTGTTTAAGGATGTAGAATTTCCTCTGAGCAGAACACTCCACTCTAAGCCCTGCCAGTACACGGGGCCTCCCCGACTGGGCACGACGCACCCGGATCCGACAGGGCTGCAGGAGACCTCGAGGGAGAGGTGAGTTAGCGATGTCAGGATTGTGCCTTCACTTGTCCTGCGTGAAGGTGGGGGTCTCTCAGTCATCCAGTGGGTCAGAAGCTCCATAAGTGAGTCCGTGCTCAGATCATGAGGACAGGGGACAAATAACACGGGGGTTCATTTACCCATTTTTTCTCTACCCATCTTAGCTGTCCAACTAGGGCCCTGGATATTTGTCTGTCAAAAACAGATTAACAAGAGAGAAACAGAACTTTATAAGCAAGTTATGACATAATAGAATATATATCAGTCTCTGCCCCTGTTCCTGGCACAGAGCTCCTGAAACCCTTGTAATTTTCTATGTGATAAAAGTGTTAAAAGAGGCATGTTTTGTTTTAATATTTGCTCTTCCACTCTGGTTCCTGATATGGATTTTCTAAATCCCTTGCAATTTCCTGGGTGATAGGCACATCTTTTATTCTAATGAGGCCACTCTGAGTGGGCGCCTGTGTGGATTCAGGTGGGCTGGTCACCAGGAATTCCCAGCCATGATTAGAATCTTGGAACGTTCAGCTCTACTCCCCATCTCACAAAGAGAAATGTGGACCCGGGGATTAACTTAATGATTAATCATGCCTACATGATGAGGCCTCCCTAAAAATCCAAAAGCACAGGCTTTAAAGAGCTTCTGGGAAGGTGAACACATCCATGTGCCTGGAGGCGGCCACCTCCCAACTCCACAGGGACAGCTCTGGTGCTGGGGGACCTTCTGACCTTGTTTTCTATGTCTTTTCATCTGGACATTCACTGGTCTCCTTTGCCATATCCTTTACTACTAATAAACAAGTAAACAAAGTATTTCCCTGAGTATTGTGAGCTGTGCTGGCAAATGATTGAAACCTAAGATGGGGTCATGGGAACCTCCAATTTATAGCTGTTCAGTCAAATCAGAGAGACAACCTGGACTCGTGACTGGTGTCTGAGGTGGGGGTGGGCAGGGACAGTCTTGTGGGACTGAGCCCTTAACCTATGGATTCTGTCTCACTCCAATTAGTATTAGAATTGAATTGTAGGACTCCTGAATTGGTGTGGAAAAAATACCTTCATCTGTGGTGTCAGAAGTGGAGTGCTGTGAGTGTGGTCACAGTGAGAGCAGAGGAGAAACAGGCAGCTTTTCCTAGCTACCTGTGCACCTGTGTACAGGTGGAAATACTCTGACATGAGCCCCTCAGAGCAGAGGGTGGGACTTGGGCTTATACAGCATCTTAACCAAAGAACAGGATTTTTAGAGAAGTGACAAGACAAAGGAAAGTGACTTCCTAGGCTGCAAATGTGTGAAGACTGATATGAAGAAAGTAATATAAAATAAGGGCTGGTTTTCACAAGGTTTTCTCTGTAGTTTCCTTGGGTGCTCTGTCTGGGTTGATAACAGTGTAGCATTCTCTCTGGCAATTCACTTTTGTCTTTCCTGGTATAGCGAAAAGGGGGGACCTTTTTACAACTTTATGTCCTGTTTTTAGGCTAGTAGAAGAGGATAAAGAGGTTTTCTTGTTTCTGTATTTTCTCAACTGCCTTCTGCTCAATATAGAGCTTATGCTCAAGTGACATATGAGGGGTGGTGTATTCTGCTGCTCTTCACTTTTGAGTTACACCCGGCTTCTCTCAGTGTGGCTAGGAGACATTATGCCACTGGGGAGAGAGGGTGACAGCCTGACGTCTGCCATTTCTTCCTCTGATGGAGGTGGAGGCCCCACTATGGCTCTGATACCCACAGACAACTTGCTTGCTTCATTTACC